ATTCTATTCTATTCTATTCTATTCTATTCTATTCTATTCTATTCTATTCTATTCTATTCTTTCCCATCCTGTCCAATGGTTCCCATCTCCTCTTCCCTTTGTTGAATCCCTCTTTACGTGGTTAGGTAGGCATGTTGCCACAAGGCTATGGAGTTTCAGTGACTGCTACTTCGTTGCTTCTGAATCGTGCATTTGTTTTCCTTGTGTCCATGTTTGGCATGAAGGAATCATCCATTTCTTGCTTTGATCATTGCGTCATCAGAGCAGCAATGGTACAACAAAGGGAAAGGAGGACTCAAAGGAGAAAATTTGGGGAGTAGAGGGAAGTTGCTGGGACTAGTGAGGAAGGAACAATCCTTAAAAGTAAAAGGCAAATACTTGAAGGTAAGAAAGAAAGGAATGACCAGTTGGGGATTGTAGGGCCATACCCTGGACTGAGCACTTATTCCTTACTGAAAGACAAACTTGCAGACATCTAAGGAAAATTCTTTGCCATTCAGTTTTCCTTTTATTTGAAGCTCGATTCAAGTTCTGAAAAGATCAGCAGAATGACACTGTTGATTGGCTGTCATCCTAATTCCTAGCCTTCCTTCTCTTTCTTCTGTGGTTGCCAGGAATCATGATAGTGTCACAATTTACACAATACTATTTCCAGCATTAGCAATTTGGGATTTTTTTTCTTTAGTTTTTGCAGAAACAGCTGCTTAATCAGTCAGGAAAAGAGTAATTGAACTTTGGCTGAGGTCATTGCTCAATCTAATAGCTACTGGGGCCAAATGTCATGAGTGTTAACATGGGCAAACACTTCGGAGTTGTTCTTCACTCCTCTGCAGAAATAAAAAGAAGTCTTTGGGCAAGCTATTCTCCAAGGCGCCGGAAGGCAGGACAAGAAGCAACGGATGGAAACTAACCAAAGAGAGAAGCAACCTAGAACTAAGGAGAAACTTCCTGACAGTTAGAACAATTAACTAGTGGAACAACCTGCCTCCAGAAGTGGTGAATGCTCCAACATTGGAAGTTTTTAAGAAGAGACTGGACAGCCATTTGTCTGAAATGGTATAGGGTTTCCTGCCTGAACAGGGGGTTGGGCTAGATGCCTCCAAGGTCCCTTCCAATTTTTATTATTATTATTATTATTATTATTATTATTATTATTATTATTGTTGTTGTTGTTGTTATTATTATTATTATTATTATTATTATTATTATTATCATTATCATTATCATTATCATTATCATTATTATTATCACTACTACTACTACTACTACTACTACTACTACTACTACTACTACTACAGTTTATTTGATGCCAAAGTGGTACTGATTAGACTTTGGGGACTGGGAATCACCCGGCTTATGTCTCTATTTGGTTCTCAAGCTCACTGGATTGTCTATGTCTATATAGGAAGAGAGATATGCAGTGGGTCACTTTAGGATTCAGTCCTTGGTCCTGTACTCTTCCACATTTTTTTAAAAGACTTAGGTGAGGGCATAGAAGGGATGCTCATCCAATTTGGTAATGACACAAAACTGGGGGCATTGCTAATACCTCAGAAGTTAGACTCAAGATTTGAAAGTATCTAGATAGACTTGAACCCTAACCCTTCTAAATAGCTCTTATTAGATAACTACGGCTGAAGACTGTTGTGTGTACAGCAGAGACACATAACCTGAGTCTCCAAAGCTTCATGAAATCCTCCAATGTCTTGGATATGCCCCCCTACCAATCAACCTGCCCCCATGATGTTGCCAACTATATTTTAACATGATAGGGGAAGAAATCAATAACTACACAAGTAGCATTAGTAACAATTATAATTAATTAATTTAATTCTAATTATATTCCCAACTGAATTAAATCAGATGGCTTTTTTTAACCAGGCCTTACCTTCTTTTCTGAGCACATGCTACCATTCAAGGGCCAAGTAAAACCGTTAATCTCTCTCTCCCCTGAAACCATGAAGCCCACTGATATAGAATAAAACATATTTAGCCAAAACGATTCTTAATTTTATATGTGTGTGTGTTGCTGGCTAGCACATGTGGGTCAGATATCAGAAAAATGATTCACCCTTCTCTGCACTGTGATGTGCTGCATTGTGGTGGGGTAGGTAGTTTTCATGGACATGATTCAGAAAAGTGTTACTTTTGATAAGTTTGTAGTCCTTCAACCTTTCTCTCCCACCCACCTTCAGTTTCTTAGTTTAGACACCAACAAGGGAGGACTACATGGTAATGAGGATTAGTTACATTGCTAAGTATCTGGCAGGTAGCAGACACCCACTAAAGCAAAAATGGGAAATCATTATCTAATTGGGGTTAGAGCAGAAAGTGTATTATCTCACAACACGTGAGAGTAAAGAGGAAGGGCTAGCTTGTCTAAGCAGCCCCTCTTCTGGGGTTAATTGAAAAATGCAGGTCAGTCATGAGACTGCATGCTGAAGGAGTCTGAGCTGGCATTCTCAGGTAGAAAGAGCATGCTCAGAAAAATTCCACAGCATTACTGGCCCACTCTACAGCTGAAGTGAAAAATACAGCATATTATGAAAGGAATAAAAAATAAAACCACCCAAATAGATTTTTTTAATACTACCTATCAAATTGATTAAATTTGGTGTACAGTCTGTGGCATAGCATTTTTTTTTTAAAAGTATAATATAGCAAGAAAAGTGTAACTGAGATTATTGTTGGAGCAGTTCTTCTGTTAAGAACGATAACGGGGCATAATAACCAGGCTGGTTAATAATAATAGAAGTGATTCTGGTTGATATTTAAAAATGGAAGACCAGCAAGTTTATCCAGGCTGTAGGCGAGTGGTAGAAAGAGAAGAAGGCAATGACAAACCTCGTTGTTGCTAAGAAACTTACATGCATGTATCTGCTAAGATGAAGGATCATCCTCAACTCAAAAGAAACTCTGGAGGACTTTTCTCCTCCATAATATGGGACCTGGAGTCATCCATTCAGTTGACTAGAGGGAGATTTGGGGCAGGGGGATTAAATTAATAATTTCTTCACACATGACATCTGTACTGAAATTCTCCATTGCATGGTGTAGTGAAGGAACCAACTTGGTTGGAAAAAATGAAAGGAATTCATGGAGAATCAAGATTATCTATTACCACTAGTAGGATAAAAAAAAAAAACTCACTTACAGAACTCAGAGAGAGGGCATAGAACAGAGCAAAAAATAAAATTGGGTGGAATGAATAGGAATAGGAATGGCAAAACACAAATAGTAAGTCCCAACATGGCCCACAAATCTTCTCTCTTGTTCCTTAATAATAAACACATCCAATTATACACATGTCTTATAAAGAATAACATTGAATTAATATATTGCTATGTATAACTCTTTCACTTCTGAAATCAGTTGCTCCAAGAGTGATTTTTTTACAAGTATTACGCTTGCTGCATCCCTAGAGAAAATAGCTTGAGGGATTGTTTGCCATTTCAGGAGCTGGATTAAAAAAGATCACACTGATTTCAAAAGATCTTCTATCATGTATCTTCAAGTTTGGTTTTGAAAGACAGGGCTGAGCAGGAATCATGTGCACATCTAGTGTGAACATGTACACAGGTATACATGAGCTTTTTTCTTCTAAGATTATGAGGCTGAAATACAAATATGAGATGCTGATTAATGAGAGTAAACAATGACTATCTAATACAACTGATTTGAGCTTAAATATGCACAAATTGAAACAGAGAGGGAGACAGAGAGAGCCTTTGTGTCAATCAATATACTTGGTATTTGAGGGCAAGTGTGATAAGGTGGAGAAACCTACACACATATACAGTCACCACAACGATGTTGAATGAACATCTCCATCGTTGGTCACACTGCTTGGCTCTACTAGGAGTTTTAGTTATATAAACTGGAGGGCCACAGATTCCCAGTGTTATGGTCCATTTGTGTCTTATTCCATGGAACAAAAAGACATGAGAAATTCAATTTAAAAAACACCATGTTGTGCTGGAGAATAACTGAGAGCAAAGCTTAATACGTTACAGATGAATGCCATAGGTGATGGTGGGAAGAATCTGTGTATACCTTCCATCCGTTATGAATGTGTGGCTTAGAGCACCCTTTGGGTGACTGTTCTCATTCTAATTTATTATAATTTTCATGTCAGAATGAGAG